TCCTCGAGAATAAATATATCTGAGCCTAGTCCCATACGAGTGTTTGCGGTCCCGCCTCATCCGAATTTTATTTGGTTTTATCGAAATTTTGGGACGGAGCACTCGTATTACTTTTCTTTTCTTTCGGGATTTTCCCAGGAGTTTTGAGGATTTTCTTTTACTTGAGTCTCTTTCGTTGATTTTCTCGAGTTCCTCCGCTTTTCTTCGGGTTTCCTGGACGACGTTTCTTTCGGGATTTACTTTTTGAGATGCATTTAGGTTTGTTATGCTTAAGGGACAGCGGATTTCACAAGCATACAGGTTTGTTTTACATTTTACAGTACTTAATTTTCTTGTTTCAACCTGCTACTGTCTTTCATGTACAGCATGTTACACTTGTCATGTTTCTATCTGCTACTATCTTTCATGTACAGCATATTACACTTGTCCTGTTTCTACCTGCTACTGTCTTTCATGTACAGCATGTTACACTTGTCCTGTTTCTACCTGCTACTGTCTTTCATGTATAGCATGTTGTATTGCTTCTGTTTCTACCTGCTACTGTTCATTCTTGTATTGCACGCTTTACATTTTATAACTTTAAACATGTTTACCTTTTTTTTACATAGGATGTTTAGAGGACTACAACCATAGGGCCGTTTGATTTGATACTACAACCAGACACTCTAGAAAACTTAAACTCGTCACGTCGAGGAGCTTGGAGCTAGCGCGGTGGGCAGCACGACCATCTTCAACAGCAGAACATGTCTTCCCCAGCAAAACCATTCCCTTTTCTAGAAATTAAACAACAATCCATAGGTTTTCGAGGTTGTTTGCCTAGCGCAACATAAATCCTCCACCTTTTTCTTTAGGCATTCGTATAGCTCTGCCGTACGATCTGAGCCCTAACTCGTTCTAGGTTCCGAGGTTGTCGTCCGATACGACGTAAACCCTCATATCTTCTAGGCAATTTGAGTGACCCTGTCACGCAAATATAAGCCCTAATTAAATAAAATTGGCAGGATAAAACACTTTAATATTTTCTTCCTAAAATTGGAGCCAAACCATAGGATAGACTGGGAAGTCACTGAGGTTCCCCTCAAGATCTGTGGCTTCCCCTAGTTTCTCTTCATTTGGATTCCTCAACAATGTTCCAGATTTGAGGACTATGTCACGTAAATATAAGCCCTAATTAAATAAAATTGACAGGATGAAACACTTGAATAATTTCTTCTCAAAACTGAAGCCAAATCATAGGATAGACCGGGAAGTCACGAGAGTTCACCTCCGGATCTGTGGCCTCACCTAGTTTCTCTTCATTTGGATTCTTCAACAATGTTCCAGATTCGAGCATTTCCCCTTTCACACATCTTCGTCCGATCTCGTTGAAAAGTCCTATCCTTTTGACTTTGAAGAAAATATTTCCTGATTTTTATCAAGAGTTTTCTTAAGTGACTTCGGTCATTTAAGATGTAATTAACTATAGGGGTTTGCCCTTATAGGAAGCTTTTCTGAACCCAGCCTAAAATACTCTATTTAATTTTTTGTATTAAATAGGAAAAATTGTCGGTAAATAAAACGGTTTCGCAGACCAAACGGATGTCATATATTTCTTAGTTTATTTGATCGAGTCTTATCCTCCAGTCTTGTGTTTATCCCTCGGGATAGATACAGGATTTGAGGTAGAGTGCTCTTTCATTTAAACTGTGAAAAATATGAGGTCAGTTTGATTTCATATTTTTCTAAAATTATATATATATACGTAAATTAAAAAATCCTTCCGAAGCGGGTGACGGGATTTCGATTCCGGCTGCCGACAGCTTCTTACGGGCGACCCCCAAACATAACTTTCTTCTTTTAAGCGCCGACATACTGAACTTCAAAAGTATATATTTTGTAGCAGGGACGCTAGCAGTATCATTTAAAATTAAATTGTACTCATATCATAAGACACCAAAAAAATGGAGGCATTTACATGCATACCACGTATTTCGTATGTATTTACAAAATTCCACCTTTTACATTCATACCACCCAAATCTTTCATAGCACACCAAAAATACCAACATTTTAACTTTTAAAGGTGAAATGCATCTTTTCATGCATAAGTGAGGCCACAGGTATGTAGAAATTAGAGTTTAAATCTTAGATATGTCAATACATAGGAATTGTGTGGTATGTATGAAAACCTTCAAAATTTTAAAAATTAAAAAATTAAAAAATTAAAAGAAAAGTCAGGCAACTTGGAATAAGAATACCACAGCAACAAGAGTAAAAGAATACTAACCATTCCTTTCATAATCTTCTCGCTGCAACGTTTGCAGGCAGCACGAGAAGTTCGCGACACTTCAATAATGCTTTCAACATCCTTAGCACTGGGTGTAGCTGAGGTTAAACCCTCCACATATTTTCGTAGTTTTTGTTGATCCTCCCACCGAAGCAAGTCTAAACCTTCGATGTCATCAATTCTGATGATAATGATAAGAGCTACAACTAATTAAATTGTCAAGAAGAAAATTCATAACTCTCTAATTTAAAACTAGCATCAATATCATTGGTCATATCTAAATAACTTAAGGCTGTTTAATGTCTTTGAAACCATCATAGTAACAGTTGACTTGCATAATGAAAAGGAAGATTTACATACATGCAGCTTAAATCCTATGTCACATATCTAGTACCTAAACTTCACTTGTTTACATATAAACCACCTTACTTATGCATGAATATGTATATTTCACATTTTAAAAGTTAAAATAGTGGTATTTTTTATGTGATATGAAAGATTTGGGTGTAAAAATGTAAAAAGTAAAATTTAGGTGTTAGATATGTAAATACATAAGAATTGGCTGCTATGTATGTAAATGGCTCTAATAAAAAGAGGGAATAAGGTTTTGCTTGCGGAATTGAGAGGAGGAGCATGTGTTGCAGGTAAAAGAAGAAATTCAAATAAAATAGAAACCATCTTCAGAGATACATACTCTTTGATTTCATTCGCTTTCTTTAAGATGCATCCAACATGATGCCACAGCTGCTCATAAACAATAGCAAACAAAATTAAATAGCTACCGAAAAAAAAGAAAAAGGACTTCCAATAGTGTTTTGTCTTAAGCAACTCTCTACCATAGCAAATCTCTTCCGAGAAGCATATAAAGTGACAGCATAAAAGGGGTAAAGTTTCAAAATAGTCCTTGAACGTCATTTTAGTCCCAAAGTCTATAAAAGTGTCAAGTTAGTCCCTGCACTCTTTTAATATGGGCTGAAATAGTCCTCCATGAGGATTGTTTCAACCCCCATTAAAAGAGTCCGGGGAATAAATTTGCAACTTTATAGACTCACGGGCTAAAAATTGAACAATGGGTCAGAGGACCATTTTGACACATTTCTCAAAATAAAAGATAGAAGCCATTCATGGTTCAATCATAAAGAGATATTATAAAATCAACAAACTAACTGCTAAACACAGTTATTACCGAATTACTAAGTAGCTTTTCACTTAATGCTTAACACATTTAACGAATCATAGCATACATTTATACATTTTGTGATTAAAAAAACTTTACCAAAGAGAAAAAACTGAACAAGCTACCTTATGTTCAACTCAAAATATTAATATTAGTAAATATTTATTTGTTTATTAAGTATATAAGTATAAGGCATCATAATTATGAATCCATGCATATATAATGATTCAAAAAAAGACATAAAACATACTAATTTCAAATATATTCAATTCAAATTAGAGTTAAGCTTCCTTGAAATTACCATAGCTCAATTCACTAGCCAATTTTAAGCCAAACTACATATGTTTGAGCAAATTTTGAGAATTATATTAAATCGGATCATTCTCACCTCTAGCTATTGCTTTTGGCAAAGATATTCAAGAAAAGTATGGTCGAAAGTAAATACAAAATAGGCAACATGTAGAGCAATATAAAACGTAAAAAAATTGCGCCTAAATTTTTCTGAAACAAAGCTAGTAAAAAGTACAAACAAGATAAAGTCTTTGTCAGATTACAATTATTCTGGTGCTAAAAAATGTCTCAAGGAGGAATTGAGGCTAATTATTCTAGCCAAGCACACATCCATAAAGACATAAGTACAAACTATAAATTCGGGCGGCCAATGCCTAAAGTATAGAACAAAATCTTAACTTCAAGAACCAGCAATAGGCGAGACTAATAACTCTAGTTGTATGTACCTACCCTTCTATATTCTAATTATTTTTTTGCCTCAAAAAAGAGTAAAAAATGAACATTCAAATAATAAAAGCATGTTAAGTAAAAAAAAAATCCATTCAAAATGATTAAAAATAGTTCTTATACTGTGAAAAAAAAACAAGATGCCTTCAATTTTATCTTAAACCAAGTTAATTTTTTAAGAACACACTTAGAAAAGTTCAATTAAAAAAAACTACAAAGCATGGATAATGATGCGGGAAATGACAAGTATGAAGAAGTTGAACATACTTAAGTTTATGATGATGATGATTCTAAGAATGACAATAGTTCCTTAATATGAAATTTGTTAAGAAAGTCATTGTATTTTGAGAATAAATATTCTTTGATAATTTTTACAGACTTTTTTTTTTGTGTGCTTGTATAAAATTCTTAACTCTAATGTTTTGCAATTTGCTCTAATATTATGTATTGCAATGATTATGAAGCAATTTCAACGTCCAAAATATGTTTATTTACCATGAAAAGTCATTTTCAGTTTGATTCTTTAATGAACTTCATACATGCCAAGATTAAACATTGTTATGCATAACTATGTGACACTATATTCTTTTTATTTTCATTATTTTTTTTCACTATAATGTTCAATTATTGATAAATCATTAAATATTCTATACTTCGTTATGTGCAATGTGTTATGACTCCAAAGATTTGTGCACAAATGCTTTACTCGATGTTGACAAGTATGCTCATTCCTTGTAGGTGCAAATTCTCTTTTATATTAGGCTTCCTTGCCCTCAATTTGATTCCTCTTTCATGATTTTCAAGTCCTTATTCCCTTAAGACAAAAGTTGAGAGCTCGTGCCTCTGTTGCTTGATCTTAATAGATAGTGAGTATTGTTTCCTCCAGCTTCACCAAATTTCTTACCATTCAAGCAGGTAAGACCTTTCCAATGATTAACAATACTAACAATCATATAATTTTCAGTAAGGTTTAATATATTAGAGTGGGATGGTATACTAGTAATATAAAATTAGGGGTATTTACATGCAAACCACACAAGTTTTATATATTTACTTATCTAATGTCTAAACTTAAATAATTCATGTATAAGACCCAAATCTTTAATATCACATCAAAAATACCACTCTAACTAACTTTTTAAACTGAAATACACGACTTCATGCATAGGTTTATAATAACAAAGTGTTATAAATGCAAATATCAAAATCTTAGGTGTTAGATATGTTATACATAAGAATTATGTGGCATGTGTGATAATCCCTAAAAATTATGGTAATACACCAAAAATGAACATGAAGGATGGACTTAAAAATAACAAAACTAAAGGAATGATTCGAGTAGCACTTATTAGAGACAAAAATGTGAAAACAAACTTAGGTTGTTTGGGCCTCCACAACAAAGGCAGAAGATGCACTAACCACTAATAAGATAATCATTCAAATTATGTTAAAGGGATTAGGGGAAAGAACCCAGGTTAAATGTATAGAAGTTATGTAAAGCAATAGAAACAAATAGATGTAACACCAATGAGAAAATTTGAAAGAATGGAATATGAGGATTCATAAAGACAATCAAAAAAATCTAATTGAGATAAATCTATAGATGTTGGATCGAGATATACCAAAAATTTCTTTTTTTCTTTCTTTGAAATGACAACAACAACAAGCATGAATCATTTTTGTTTTTAAATGGCAAACCAATGAAAAAATCAAAATCTATTTAGCAAAGGAGCTAGACACAAACTTAAGAATATACAAGATAGACACACATTAGATATGTATCAAACCCACCATCATTAAACCAAAAAGGTTGATAGACAAACCATTAGACTACTCCATGGGGCTCTTTGGTGGCTAGACTTAATTAAAATTTAACTAGAATTTGAGGTAAATCTTTATCAACATTTTGTTGGTGTATGTAAATCTAACTATAGATTCAATCGCCTTTTTGTCCAACTTCTAAATTTTAGTGCTTCTCCTTTTGTTGCTAATTCATTGTTCCCTTACACTTCTCACGAGCTCCACTTTTCTTCTTGTTATGATCTCCTTTGTCATGTGTTTCCCTATGAACTCCTATGTGCCAGTCTAGCTGCAATATCCTTAGTCACTTCTTGCAAGCTCCTCCATATCAGTCTTGTTGCAAGCTCATTGATCGCTATTTTCCGCACAAGCTCCAATGTCTCCTAATCCCTAAAAGCTCCATTTGAACCGAAGTTCATGCCAATAAAACCCCTCTCATTTTTCATTTCCTTTAGGTATTCTCACATACAGTTAAATTCTAAACTTTAAAAAAAACAACCAAGGATACTATCATTTAACAAGATCTAAGAGTTGCCATATTAAACAATCTTTAAATTTTAACACCTTGGATTTAAAAAGGAGAAGTTTGGTGGCGCCTTTTAATAGGATTTATCACCGAATCTATTAAATTCAACCAAACGATAAAAAGCAAATGTTCCGTGGATTTATAAATTTTCAAATTTAGTAGCTCCAATTTTGCCTTTGATTCGACTTAAATCCGTATTTATTAAATCCATGGGTTGAGTGGATTAACAGATTTACTAAATCCAACATTTGCTAAATCCTACTTGCAGCCAAAGACACCCAAAATCTAGATTTATAAAATTAACTAAGAGTCCATTTAGGGGAATGTATCCTTTTGTAAAGGTTATTGTAAAGCTGCTGTAAGTATTTTATAATTTTTTTTTATTTTATTTTTGAAAAATTAGAATAACTTCTCTTGCAAATACCAAACTAATAGATCTTGTTCCCAAAAGGAGCTTCTCCTCACAATAGTTTTTGAAACACAATAAGAAAGCAACAGCCAAAGCACTTGTGGCAGCGGTCTAAACCCTATAACAGTTAGAAAACTGCCTCACATAAACCCTAAACAAAAGTTTGATGGATTTATTAAAAATGATTAAAAGGGCGACTAAGTTCAGATTAATCCAAAACCCCGACAAAAAAGGATGGCATTATCAGACATGATCCTTATAAGGGGACGATCGATTTAACGGGAAAAAAGCGCATAATGTGGAGAGTTTTACAGGCATGAATCCGTCAAACTGAGTGGCCACAACCATCTTGCCAAGCCTGAGATGGTCCTTATTAATAGCATTCTTGCAGGTCTTGCAGGAAGATCTTCCAGACTTTGCGTACTCCGCTTTCCATGGTTTGGGAGGAACTGGGGTTGCCATTGTTAGGGCTTCGAGGAGAAGTCGGAAAAGAAGAAAACTGAGAAAGGTTTTATGGCGCCTGCATCTGCGACTGAGCCGCGCAAGGAGATGCCTGGCAGAATGCCG